ACAGCAGAGCTTTTCCATCATTTATTTTTTTCCTTGCATTATTAAATAAAAAATCCAATAGTTGATAAATAAAAATAAAAATAAACAGATATAGGAAAAATGTAATGATGGATAAGAGTGATAAAAAAAAGGTTGAAGAACATTTCAGCAACTTTCAAGTGGTTAAATATTATGAGATTAAACAAATTTCAGTTTTTTTTCTTACACTGAGCTATAACTTCAAAATCTGTCCATGTGAACACTCATGCGAGAGCTCATGTAAGCCTATTTATACCCCTTGATCCTATTTATATTTTATCACATCATAGCTACAATATTTAATTATACAATAAATACAAATAAATATTTAAAGTATGTTATGTATTTGCTTCCATACCATTTTGGTCTGATATCTTAAAATCAGAACAGCTAACCTCAGACGTCAGTAACTTGCGAAGGGAGACTTCCAAAGTGTAATTTATATTTAAATCCAGCTGTTCTGTGGAAATCAATAAATTTAGAGAACAAACGAAGAAACCAGTTATAGATAGTTAGGAGGAATTTAAAGTTAGGCTGGTAAACAATATCTCACAGATTACTGTTTAATAAGCCAAAAGAACACCAAAAAAATATGGTAACTCTAAGCTTAAGGTTATTCACTTCACAAAGTCCAGTTTGGGGAGTGAATAACCTTAATGTAAATCTGGAAGAGTAGAAAGAAGGGAGCCATTGGAAATCCCATTAGCAGTTTGTCACATACTAGTGGAACAGCAAAAAGTGGGAAAAGAAGGTGCTCTGGTTAGATGCTACATATTAAACTTTTCAAAGATGTGGCAAAGCACAATCACACTGTGAAGCACAGCTGTAAGCACAGCATTATTGACGTGTGCTTATCTTTAACAGGGACAGGGAAGCTGGTCAGAGTTGATGGGAAGACAGAAGGAGCAAAAAAAAAGGGGTATTTCTGAATGAATATCTGACAGAGGCTTCAGGAGACCAGAAAGAAGAGTGAAGGTTCAACTTCCAGCAGCACAAACTACCATCCATCCATTTTCTTACATACTTATCCCAAGTGGGGTCACGAGGGTTGCTGGTGCCTATCTCAAACTGTCAATGGGCGAGAAGCGGGGTACAATAGCCAGTCCATCGCAGGGCAACACAGAGACAAACAACCATTCACGCACAAACTGACACCTAAGGAGAATTTTAGAGAAGCCAATTAACCTAACAGCCATGTTAGTGGACTGTGGGAGAAAGCCGGAGTACCAAGAGAGAACCCACGCATGTTCAGGGAAGACATACAAACTCCATGCAAAAAGACACCAGGCCAGGAATCGAACCTGGAACCTTTTTGCCACAAAGCAGCAGTGCTACCCACCGCGCCGCTGAGCAGCCACACAAAGTGCCAGTATTGCGATATCTCATTGGGCAGTATTGGCAATGAAAAAAAATACATCTGAATTGATCTTAAACTTAAAAAATATTTATAAACTAACACCCTTTGTCATTTGCACAGGGTATATACAGAAAGAAATTACATATGCAATGCAATTGTCTCAGTTTTATATACATCTTAAACCTTCAGCCGCTAATTGACAGCACACCCCTAAGAGCCTGTTAGTCAGCAGCAACAAGATTTCATTTGGTTGTATCTGGATAAAATGGGATAGGTCGTTGTATCGTGAAAGGTATCATATCGCTAAATCCTTGCCAAATCACACCTCTACTAAGTATATAGCCAGAGCTGTATTAAAGCGATTTAGATCAAAGTATATAAATGTGCAGGAGCAGTCCTGACCTCAGCCCAATAAAAAATGTTTGACAATAATTGTAAATTAGTGCTCAACAAACCAGCCTGAAATTCAGCTGTTTTCAAAGGAAGAATTGCTACAATGTTTGGCCTCCAGTTCAATTTTCAGTCTCTGGATATATTTAAATGTTAGTAGTTTAATTTAAAGCCACCCATGCTAGGTGATCCAATGCTAATTTAGTAGCTAAATGCTTCTAAAGCAAGAAGTGAGTAAAACACACTCAATGCAAACTAAAGATAAAATAAAATTAAAAGAAGAAAAGAAAGTACACAAATAAACTGATGCACTAATATAATTTCTCCACTGTTGTCTCATTAGTAGTGTTTAACCAGTATGATTTTTTAACGACAGCAAAGGATTTAAATTGCCTTATGTTTGTCAGTGGTGCCACTACAGAATACCTGAAATATACTTTTGATCATCTACGTGCATCTAAACTAATAACTAATAACAAACTAACTAATAACAAACTAATGCAATTAGGAAGAACAAAAGAAAATTAAACCAACACACTTGGTAATATAACACATCCCCGTGGGTAATAGTCAATCATCCATCGTACACATCGAGGTTAAGTGGAGAAAAAGCTTTGTGTAAGACAAATGCAGTTTTCTGTTTATGAAAACCGAAAAGGAAACATTGGTGATATAAAAATTTTTATAATCAGATTATTTCATATGAGCTGCTTCACTGTGTCAGACATGCAGGGCGGTTTGCCTTAAGAAATATTATTTTGGGAGTTTAAAAACATAAAATAGGTTTCATTTGTTTCTTTCAAGGTTAAAAAACACGTCGCAATCAGAGTCATGCATGTTTTCTGTTCTGAAATAAAGCTTTCATTTAAAATATGTAAACAGAAATGTAGATATGGTGGATAAGAATATTTTTGATGTAAATATAACACTATAAGGTCTTTCGGGTAAGCAATAGATTTAGGAGATAAATCAGCTTCTATTTATTTAGTTTATTTAAAGATATGTACTTGAAAATTAAGAAGAACACTAAACTAAAGGTGTTTAGACACGGAACCATTCTTTAATTGTGTTTCCTGCAGAGATCTGTGAGGATGATGGTACAGGTACAGTTATTAATTTATGTATGAACTTAAAAGTAAAAAAAAAAAGTAAAAAGAGCATGTTTTGGTGGCGCAGTGGTTAGCACACACAACCCATGTACAAAGGCCTTAGTCCTTGATGCGGCTGACCTGGGTTCAAATCCGTCCTGTGGTCCTTTGCTGCATGTCTCTCCCCCTTTCTGTCAGCCTACTGTTGAAAAAGCAAATGTCTAAAGAAAGCATCTGTGAGCGAGCATAAATTCAAGTTTGTAGTAACCTAACTAGTTTAGCTGATGTCATAGTTACTAGTGAGTTCTGAACCCTGAGACAGCTCTAGCTCACAAAAAATCTTTATGGTTGGAAAGGAAAATGTTTACATACCACTTTTTTAGAAAACAGCATATTGTGTGTACCTCACTTAAAAAGAAAAAAAACATTTCTTGTTTTATAAAGATTAGGAAAGATTAGATTAGATAAGTCACTTTTTACTATTAGGAAGTCCACAAACTGTAGTTAAAAGCCATCAGCTTTTCAAAAAGCCAGTTCTGATGAACATTAAAAAGAGATCATATTTCTCCTATCCTGGCTTCTCTTCATTGGCTTCCTGTTAAATCAAGAATAGAATTTAAAATCATCCTTCTCACATATAAAGCCTTAAATGGCCAAACTCCATCTTATATCAGGGATACGATTGTTCCTTATGTCCCTAACAGAGCACTTTGCTCTCAATATGCAGGTTTACTAGTGGTTCCTAGAATTTCTAAACGTAGTTCCTGTTTGGCTGTGACACCATCCTGGAGAGAAATATCAGCTGTGCTGCTGCCATCAACACCCTTGTTTTTAGATTTTGGAGATTGGGCCATTTTTTCAGTGTAGTCCTGTTTCTATGACTGTGACTGGCTGAATGTGCTCTCTTCATCCTCTGACATGGGAGCTGGCTCGGAGCTCGTCTGCCTGGCTGTGTGTTTCCTGGACGGGGCCGCCTTTTACAGTTGCTTTTTGTATCTCTGCTTCTGTCTCCTTGAACCCCAGTCGGCCTCAGCAGATGGCCGCTCACACTGAGCCTGGTTCTGCTGGAGGTTTCTTCCTGTTAAAAGGGAGTTTTTTCCTCTCCACTGTCACTACAAGCATGCTTAGTGTGAGGGATTGTATTTGAGTCAATGAGTCAATGCAATCAACTGGTTTTCCTTAGATATAAAACTTTGAATCAATTTGACTGTATGATCTGGTTGAACTGTAAAGTGCCTCGAGATGACATGTGGTGTGAATTGGTGCTATATAAATAAACCAAATTGAATTGAATTAAAGATCCAAAAAAATATATACTTAACTTATTTCAGTTTGTGCGTACGTCTTTAACCCAATCATACAATACTCATTACTACAACAGAACTGGATACATATGTTTATCAATAAAAGATTAAAGAAATTGAACACACAGAAGCTGAAAGCATCTTTAAAAGCTGCTAAATAAGGATGGAAATCAATGCAATAGAAATCCTGAGACACATTTCTAATTTACCTATGATATGGTGGCTTGAGTGAGGAGAATGATGCCAGAGGAAAACTTAAAGACCTAACAAATTCCTATAATACACTGGGATTCATGTGACTCCATAAATACCTAGTTATGACCTAAAGGGCTAAAATTATAAAAACCATTCAGATTTTAACCAGCATTGTTAATCACATTGGGGCATCAGCATCCTCTTCCCCACACTGTGTCACCAGAATAGCCTAATTTATAATAGCAAACCATATAGGGGTTGATAAAGTCTTAGTTGTCTCAAAGGAACCATTTTTTCCCCTTATGATGGTGTAACTGCTCCACAGAGCTGCTCAAACATTATTCCAGGGACATTGGCAGTCATGATTCAATCTCTGCAACTCTTTCTGAGGTTGGGCATCATAATGATTCCTACAAATCATTCTAATCCTCATGTCTTTTCACAACTGTTATCCTTTCATGATTTCTAATTAGAAATAATAAATCTATTCTGAAATAATTAGCTTTATTGGCTGGTTTCTGTTTGCCTTTAGTTTGAACTAGTAATAATAACAGTAAAGAAGGAGCTTTTAATTTGAAGGGAGTAGAAGAGGGACTGAAATGGGCCCCTCCCCTCAGTCCATGAGGCTGATTTGGCTCCAGATATAAACACAGAGCTGCTGTTCTCTGCTTCTCCTCACTTTCCTCCCTAGACGTGCGCAGTTTGCTCCTAAAGACCGAGGCGGAGGGGGAGACATCAGGAGGGGACAATCCCTGGCTCATTCCCAGGATGGAGGTAGAAACTATTTAAATCTCTGTGGCAGCCTGCTCTTCATAACCAGATGGTTTTTTACATTGAAGTATAGTCAAATTAGAATAATAACAACAAGAATGAATAGAATAAAGTAAAAAAAAAGACAAAAAAAAAATTACAGGACGTTAAAGGGGGAAGTTAAAATATAAAAAAATGCTGGTGTGCTGTTTTTTTTTCTTTTCTTTTTTTACATTAAAGCATGTTTGATCTCCATAATTTTCATTTTGGTTTCATATGAATAGTGATATATAATAGTGAAATTGAGACAGAAGAGTTTCAGACTAATGTCGTAACTTGTAACCAATGGTGGAAGTAAAAGAAGATGACAGAGCATCTCCTATGAATCCCTCAAATTATGGAGAGCTATACAGCCTCCCACCTTCCCCTGAAGGCCCAAGATGAAACAGAAGGCTGTTTTCTGTGTGTGTGCTTTTTTTTTTGTTTGCCTTAGAAAAGAGGAAATGTAAAGCTTTCTCCTAGTTTTCGGGAGCCTCCCTCAGACTTTTAAAACCACTCGCAAGAATTTAATGCAACTTGAAAAGTAGGAAGAGAAACACCCATTTTCTTTCCTCCACAGCACTTTAGGAAGCACGGAAGTAATCTTTGAAACTGCTCCCACATCTTGTAGTAAAAACCACTCAATCTGGGGCTAAGGCTTTATTTAGATTCCTCCTTAGATTCTGAACTACATGTAGAAGCAGATCATGGCTGGGTTTTCTGATGAAGCTGCACGAATCAAAGCTGAACGCTGGAGACCTGAATCTTTTGGTTAGAATGAAACAAGAGCTGTTTTACCAGCTGAATGATGTAAACAAACTTTCCTCATCACCTTTTAATAAATATTCATATCTATAGCTTTTGCATGGCGGTGCATTTACTTTTCCGCCTATATTACCTGTTAGCTATGTCCCAGCTGTGTCACTCAAAGGACAAAACTGAAGGTGCAGCTGCTCTTGGATATTTGTAATACATACAATCGCTTTGTATCTGTGAGATTTTAAAAGAGTTGTTTATTTGAAGCCTTGCCATAAATTTTAACTTGATCTGCTTTGATCTAATCTATTCCACTGTACCTCTGGCTGTATGTTAAGTTTTGTTTTACTGCTAGAGGGTAAACCTTCAAAATAGTCTCCTGTCTCTTTTTGCCTCCACAGAATTTGCCCTTTATTTAACTCTATCCATCTTCTGATCTACTCTGTTCCCCGCAGCATGATGCTGCCCCCACCATGTTTCATCAAGGGATTGTGAAGCATGAGCTTTTCCGCTTTTTAAAAAACAGCCAAGAGTGAGATTTTAGTGTCATCCAACTAGAGGGAAAGCACTCTCTTCTACATGTTTGGTGTAAATAATGGATTTCTTCATGCCCGTCTTCTTAGTTTAAGTGGACAATCTTTGGAAGTTTTACTTACCCATTCTCATACCGTCTCCCACGACCCGTGATGAACCATATTTACAAAGAAGGGGACCTTTCAAGGTTTTCAGGGTAACTGGATTTCACTTCAGGAGTCTAAAGGTCTGAAAAGTAGTGCAGACTTCACAGTTCACATTTCCTTTTCGGAAAAATCTTGAAACCCATCCTTCCATATCATAAAATAAGCACCACATTGTATCTGACTTAGGCATAATTACAGTAAAGTGTGTCTTCATTTCAAATGTAAAAACAAATTAAAGAACTGACCTTCTCCAAATACATTTTAATTAAGACATCCGGTAACTAATAGGCAGAAGTAAAAATTCAATGTTTCCACATCTTCAAAATTCATTACATCAAATCAAATTCATTTCAATTCAACTAAGAGCTGTTTAGGTCTATTTTATTTACATTACAAGTCCTTATTTAATGTGAAGAAGGTGTTGGGTTAAAATCGAAACTAGTGAATTTTCAAAGACTGTGTAGGCAACTGATTCAATCTTCAAGTTCCCTAGGCTGTCAGGCCAGAACAATGATGACAGACGTCAATTGCACTCATGCAACTCTTTACTTAAGATGTGCTGATTAGGATAAGAATGGTTCTTTGATCTTCTGATTATGGCATGGACGCATAAACCCTTATAAGCAGAAGACATGAAATTCCAGACCTAGACAGAAAAAATGTTGCTGTCGTCCGCCGACTGCCACCTGTGAACCTAACAAGTGACAATTAAACTGGAGAGAAAGGTGAGCTCTGACGGGCCATTGCCTGGAGTTAAAGTTATCCCAAAATACACAAATTATTATAGGATGCTGATGTGTTCAAAGTGTTCAGAAATAAAAAAAAAATCACCAAAACCTTATGAACATTTAATGCCAATTTTGTCTTACAACCCAGCTAATATGGACCTTCCTGGTTTATCACATTACAATGCTTTTAAAAGTTCTGCCTTCCTCTCAAATTGTAACGCCCCCATCTCTGTCAGAAATGTATATTTAAATATTACTTTTGGAATAGTTTGTTACTTCATGTTTGTGCTTTAAAACTGGATTTAAGCTGCTTTGAAACATAAGAAACTAAGTTTTACTTATGTTTGAAATTACTTTTAAATGCTTAAATGAACTGGAAACAGCCAATGATGAGCTGGCCACAGTCATAGAACAGAATTTGTCATCCAATCAGAGTGTCTGTTATTATGAACAGGATTCATGTTCTGCATGGAGGATTTAGAAATGTTTTTCCAACTTCTTGTCAGAATAGTCCATGTTTATTAAATCCGACACCTACCAGTACTGCCAACCTTTAATGGAAGAATACCTCATGGACGTTCTGTTATGTGTCTTTTTCTGCAGAAATGTTGATTTAAAACAACTGGAAATAAATGGTAGTTTTCGGTGTGCACCTGGGGCTGGGCTCTGTGCTGTGGTGCTTTTCCTTTGATGGAAACACAACACCACAAGTATAGCAGGGAGTATTTTGGGCTAACTTTGCCAACCATCTGGTGAGCACATTTATTATGTAATGCATAGTAAAGTCAATGTATAAGAGCCAGAGCCAGTCAGACTGCTAATTAGTTAGTTTTTCCCTCTCTTGTTTTTTGCTTTGCAGCACTACGTCATTCGAATAGTTTCACAGTACGGTTATAAACTGGTACTCACAGCTGTTCTCACTATAATTGTATGCTCTTAATCACTAGAGCATTGCAATGTTTAAAGAGACTGTATGTTGGAGTAATTCAGTGCAGAGCTTCTCTGTTTACATTGGAAAGACGAAGCAAGACACCTAACAGGTAGTGAGGCGCAGTGGATTGGACGTGATCAAGCAGATTCTCTTCAGTCGCAATGACTTAAGAGCTTGAAATGATTCAATCTCTGTGCAAATCCCACATTAAGATAAACTGTCTCGCAATTTCACCGCTTTCATTTGAAAAAGATGAGCAAGTCGTCTAGGATGTCATATGACCGTGTTGTTTTCTCCGAGGATATGTAATGTCTTCTGTTCACACAACTTGACTGCATTCTGTCCTAATGGAAGGTCTGAAATTTGTCCCAAAGGACACAATTACAGAACAGCTTTTTCCTTTTGTGTTTCCTCTGCAGTATTTCTCATGCCCTTTCCCAGGAGATAACAGGGTGTTAACCTGAATAGCTTTCTGTCTGCTTTGTTAAACACTTTAGTCCTGCTTTACTGGTTGTCGTCTGCATATCGTGACTTTAGACAGATACACAGCTCCGTGGCATGAGAAAAAAAGATTGTTTTTCCTCAAAGGATCTAACCGTGATTGATTGCATCAAGGTGTTTTACTAGTTACATTCCCAACACTAAAAGAAGATGGTGTAGATTTTGAAAACAGAAAATGTGCAGAAGATTAAATGTGTATGGGTAAGGAGTTGGAGCAGCATGTGGGACAGAGAGATACCAGAGGTGGGTTATGCACTACAGACTAGATAAGCAGAAAAAACACCCATGCTGCTGCAACACTGAAACACACATGTTGTTTTAAAGATAGACGTTATGAACATTATCCATCAAAATCACCATGACTAGGTGGAAATCGGCTTCTACCAATGGAATGATTAGATGGGCTACTTTTGTCAGAAAGAATCCTTAAATATTGTTGGACATGTTGGAGGAAGTTAAAACAGCTAAATGGGACTTCATCTTGAGAACATAACTGACTTTCACATCTCCCTACAGAGCATTTAACCCGTCAGCTTGCACCGCCCTTTTTCTAATTTTGGCATCTGGCCATTCTCCTTCCTTTTTTGGAAGAAAGGAGTGGCAGAGATAAGTGCTGCAAGCTGCTACATGTTTGCAAATACCATTTCTCTCACTGGTCATATTCAACACTTGTATTATGGCAAAACCCTTCTCCTAGTTTCAAGTAATAATAATGTTTATTGTATTTCTTATTTATCACATTTTGTATGTGTGCAAAAAGAAATTTTTGGTCATTGTAGTCTAAAGGATTGAGGCAATGTCCGCAGTTTGACTGCAGGCATGCCAAAAGTCAGTCCTCGAGGGCCGCTTTCCTGCAGGTTATAAAGGTTTCCTTGCTCCAGAACACCTTATTTTCATTGATAGCTGATTAAAATGCTTGCTGAACTGAACCCATCAGAATTAGCTGTGTTAAAGCAGAGAAACCTCTAAAACTTGCAGGACAGCATCCCTCGAGCACTGACAATCGGCATTCCTGTACTATGATATCGGTATGCAGTTCTTAGGCTTTATCACGCTATTGCATACATTGGATAACAGCTTCTCCTTTGTATGGGTTTTAACTTGTCTTAACTTGTCCATCTCCACTTTTAAGATAACAAAACAATTATTGGTAAACCAGTTTACAATTCAGATGTCCCTTATTTTTAAATACCATGCAAGATGCAATCAATTAAGATATTGTGTCTGACACGGTTGGAAAGCTGCACGGTATTAAAAGACTTTAACCTACTTTTTTCATGCTGTATTTGGTTATCAGATTACATTGTTTCTGTTTCTGTTTTTGTTTTGTTCTTTTTTCTTTCTTGAAATTTAAAGGTTTGCATAAACCTTCTTAGTGTTTGGTAGAAA